TGGGGTTGTCCTTGTGATAATGGTGGTGATAGTTGTGATAGTTGTACAAATTGTGATGACAGTGGTTGTGCAAGTTGTACTTGTGTCGATTGTATATGTGGTGGCAGTAGTTGTATAAGTTGCGCATGTGGTGAAGATGATTGCCCAACTTGTACTTGTGGTGATGATTGTGTAAGTTGTACTTGTGGAGATTGTGATAGTTGTGTTTGTGGTAACAATGGTTGTATAAGTTGTACTTGTGGAGATTGTGATAGTTGTGTCTGCGGTTGTGTAAGTTGTACTTGTGTATGTAGTGCATGTAGTGGCGAAGATGGTAAAACTAATGGCATTTGTGATGACATAGTTGGTGGTGATTGTAAATAAGAAGATGGTAACCACTTTTTGAATGATATATTAGCATAGGAAAAAAGAGGGTGTGTTAGAGGATTTTTGACCATAGCCAGTCCTTTGTTCTAAAAATATACATAAATAAGTTTACTATAAGCAGTATAAATTGTTATAAACATTACTGTTACTATAATATACCATATCAGATGCCCAAATCGAAAGCATCATAAATGTAATTTCCACATGAAAATCTTTGTGGCTTTCTTTATTTATGCAGGGATGATTATGCACATTATAGTGATATGCATTTCTAATTTTTAACACATTTTCGGCAATCTCTTTATCATGTGAAGACAAAGACGAAACATTTGGGACTTGATTTTTGTTTTTGTAATTGTTTGATCTTTCATTATCTTCTTCACATTCGCTTAAATCCAATTCCTATAAAAAAATCAATATTATTTATAAGAATATGCTTTATACTATGGCTGTATTGATACATGTACTACCTTTTTTTTTTTCGTTTGTTTTGAGTAGATTGTCGCACAATTGTTACATAAATTCTGATATCGCTTTTTCTAGCAGCTAACTTTGTATATTCAGATTTGAACTTTATGAAATCTTGTTCATCAACCAATTGGGTGCCAGTGCCAGTTTCTCTTTGCGTTTTGAATATCACAGAGTATTCATTTGGCATAATATTATTATCCTTTGTTATCAAAAGAATTTTATCGTAAATGGATAAAAGAAATTCATCAACTGTTGATACAGATTCTTTGAACCATTTAGCAGGTAACGAAACCCCATCCGCTGTTTTAACAAATAATTTATAATCTACTGCAAACTCAGATTCTTCATCTTCACTACTCATTTCACTTTCGTTAACTTGATCCTCACTTGCTGCAGCCGACGATAATTGGGAAGATGACCTAATTATTTCCTATAAATAAAAGCAATGTATTAATAAATATATTTAAATATATTAATAAATGTATATATCTATAATAAGAAAATATATTACATTGTTATTCTCTTCATTGTTTATTGTAATATCTGTATTTTTTTTAACCTTCACGGGATTCACTTTGACTAAAACATTGTGGCATCGTCTACAAAGAGAAAACCGAAAAGACTTTTTCAAATTTATTCGATAATTGTGTTCCATGACTCTTCCATGAATGTATTCAAACTTGGGTGCTGCCCAAGTAGGTTCATAGATGCGTGTATACGCTTGTTTCACTGAATCTGTTCTATTTTTTTTTGTTGGTACTAGAGATAATTTACATTTACAAGTGGTGCTTCACAAATCAGCTGCGCAGTACAAACACTTTCTACACCCAAAACAGGTGCCACGGTAATATTTAAGTTTAGTATTGGCAGCATCTGCCATCATATATTTGATTTGTTCGGGAAAAAGAAAAAATTTATTACTTTTGGAATTTTTTTTTTTTTATATTCTACATAAAAAAGAAAAATTTACTACTTTTGGAATTTTTTTTTTTATATTCGAAAAAGAAAAATTTACTACTTTTGGGATTTTTTTTTTTT